TTTAAAGCGAAAGATTCAATAGAAAGTTTATGGGCCAGGGTGTCTACTAACTGCAAAAACCTGGAAAACCGGGAATCCTCAGGAAAATTTATTTTTCCTTAAAATACCTGGAAGTCTCAGATAATTTAATAATTTTCTTACTGAGGATATTTTGAAGAAAGGAATGCAGAGTTGCGACCTATCACAATCACGATCGCCAAACAGCTGATGGTAGTAACGCTTTGTACATTCCTATCAATGTGCTCGTCGAAGCTCTCTCCATGACCATCCATCAAGTTGACGAAAGAAGTAAAAAGCAACTGGTGAATGTCGGCTACTGTTGTGATCCGTCACCGATCTGGTCAATCCCGACAAATAACGACACTCATCTGTGCTCGTTTTGAAGCAGTTGCTGCTTTACTTGCTTATTTGAGTGTGTTGGTGAGTGAACCCAACAGCTTCCGTTTCATGTTGCCTGCTTTGTTTGTAACTCACACAGTCGCGCCTGCCGAGACGAACTTGGAATGCGAAGGCATTGTTTTCATTTTCTTCTGTCGTTTCGCTTTTTCTCATGATCGTACTGCAGAAGTCTTCACTGTTTTCGTTGCTTGTGAGCAGCGACCATTACTGGTGGTTGTTGTTTGCCATGGCTCTACCTCTCACTGCGTGGCAAAACGATCTGTCAGCGATAGTCAGTTGGTGCGAAGACGAGTGTCACGTGAGTGTCATTATATTTTGCATCACTGAAGGAATGTATTTAAAAATACAAGCATTTAATTTTTCTCGTTATTTTCATTCACACTTTGAACTTTATAGATCCGCAGTAGATAAATCTTTAGTAACAAATAAATAAAAAAAAAAACAAACAAAGGCATTTTTGGGATATGCATATTTTAAAGCATTTTAAATTTGCTCTAGTTCTGGAATTAAAAGTTCTAAAACTTCAATCAATTTTCAAAAATCTGGAGTCATACGCCATGCACAGTTTTAAAGGCTCGCGGAGTTTTATTATAATTTCTAAGGACCTCATTCCAAGAGAGTTCTGTGGAAAAAAAACTTATTCAATCTGCTTTCAAGGTAGTTCTGAAATTTTTTTGATGTAATGTGAAGCCTGATAACTTTGAGTAGAATTTCAAGAAACCCTGAATTTAATTTAAATGTAAATTTTAATGAAAACCCTTAGGAATTTCTGATGAGCACACCTCCTTTGAACTTTAGAGGAAAATTCCAAGGGCATTCTGCAGATAATTTCATAAATTTTGTGGGAGAAAACAAATCCGGAGCATAAGTCGCTGGAATTTTTTTGAAAATATTATAATATTATAAGGATAATTAAATCTGAGAATAACTCCAGGACATCTTTAAAGGAATTCGGAAAATAGATTCAGGAGAGTTTGCCAAACAAATTATTAGAAGAAATCTAAGGAATTTGAGAGGAGAAATCCCAATGAATTTTTATGAGACTTTCGATATAAGTAGAATTCCAAGAGAAAGAGTGAGATTCAATAGGAAATCTGAAATGAATTCAATGAATATTCGGAGAATCTCTCCAAAGGCTTTCTTATTGAGGAAAATTTCACGGTAATTCCGAGGAAAAGTGAAAGAAAATTGAGTTCGGAGGAGAGGTTCATGAAAATCTTCATTAAATATGGAATGGACTATTCTGAGGTCTTCAAAACTACTTGAATTTTTCCTGAAGTTAATAAAACTGCCTTGAAGTTTTTTCCTAGTTTGAGAAACTAGCTGGATGCTCACAATACTTCTCATCAAATTGTTAAGCTTCCCTGAACTTTATAGGACTTCCTGAAGCTTCGTAATTTTTTTCCTAACGGTTATGAATCTCCTCTAAACGTTTAATAATTTTCTGAAGTTCTCTAAACTTTTTTTAAAATTCATGTGACTTTTCTAATGTTAACGGAACTGCTCTGAAGTTCTCTGTTCTTTTCTGAAATTCTCAAAACTACTCTAAAGTTTCTGCAGTTCTCATGGAGCTTATTGTACTGCGCTGAATTTAATTGAATCGTCCTAAAAATGTTTAAGCTTCAGTGAACTTCTGAACTTATCCGAAGTCCTCAATTAACTTTTTAACGTACCTAAAGTTATCTGACAATATGAGAACTGCTTTAAATTTCCCACTTATTTTATGAAACTAATGGAACTGACCTCCCCCTGAAATTTCTCGGAGCTTACTAAACTGAAAATCTCAATATTTTTCTGAAACTGCCCTTACATTATCGACACTGATTTAAAACTTCTTCAATAGTCTAAACTTTCTTGGTATTATTAAAACTGCCAAAACGATTATTAAATTTCTTTAAAGTGCTCTAGATTGCCCTGAATTTATCAGTTTATAGAACCCGCAACATTACTGAAATTAATTGATTTGCCTTAAAGTTGCGACAATTTCCCTAAAGTATTATAACGATTATAAACGCTCACTAATTTTCCCTGAACCTATCTATGCTTATCTGAAGTTCTCTAAATTTGTTTAATAATCCGGCCAATTTTCTGATATATATGCATAATTCCCTGACGCTTTCGAATCAATCATAGAATTCTAGGAATACCCCATAATTCCACGGAACTCCTTGTCAGTCGCTGCAAATTATTTTAATTATTCTGAAGCTATCTGATGGTCCTCGAAGTACTCAGAACTTCGATGAATATCTTGAAAATATCTAAAAATATTTAAATTTATTAGAAGTTCTCTGGAATTTCTAAATTATATCGATGCTCGATAAAACTTCTCGCATTTTTTTAAAGTAATTGAACTTCGTTGATGTTCTCTAATCACCTTAGCTAAACTATCACATTTTTCTAAGATCTTGAAATCTCAATAATATAACACCCTAAAATTACTCTCACGTTTTCCGGATGTTCATATAATTTTTATCACGTTCCAGCTTTGTTGAAGTTTTCGAAATTCTCTGAGTTTCCCGAAATTATTTTATTTTCCTTGATTTGATTTCCATCGATCTTGTTTTCCGTATTGAGTACCAATGCTACCGATGCCAGGGAGGCAGCTTCCACACCTGGGCCCTACCTATCGACCTATCAACTCATAGATCGGGGTCCAACGGCTTTACTTCCCTTCCGAAGGAAGGTGTGATCAGATATTTTATGAATGAACCCAGGCCTTTTGCCGGCGCCTGGTGTAGTAGTGTAGTTGGGACTGCTTTCTAACACCCCGATGGGTCTAGGTTCAATCCCAATCTGAGGCATAAAAATCTCTGGTCACGTCTTCCTTCGGAAGGAAAGTTGTTCCGGCTCATGTGTGTTGAATGGGTGCGATATTCTACGCAGGTGTGGAAGCTGCCTTACTGCACATTCGATTGCCGTCAATGGATGGCAATCGATGTCCGTCGGTGATTGGCACCAGATTGCGGAACAGAGACCGACGTTAAATAAAGGAAAGAAAGAACCCAGGCCTTTTGAGGTAAGAGGCAATCACGCTTACCACTACACCACCACACCACCGGCGCCGCTCTTCTCAAAACTTCTTCAAGGTTACTACCATTTCCTTGGAATTATTAGAACTGCCCTTTGATTCTCTGAACTGTCGTGATGTTCTCGAAACTTCCCTAAAGCTCTCAATCCTATTGAAGATCTCGGTTCTGCTCGGAAATAAATGGAATACCCGTTAACACCTTTATATTTCCCTGAAAATTTTCTGAACTTCTGTGATGTACCAGAAATATTTCTGAAGTTTTCATAAATTCTCTGAAGGTCTCTGAACTTCCCTGAAATTTTCACATCATGGAACTATCCTGATTTTTTCTTAATTTACGATTATAGATCTTTAAATTGCTTCAAAAGTCTGGACTAAAGTTACGGGAACTGCCCTTAAGATCTGTTATTACCCAAACAGCTCTAGATCTAGCAATTTCTGAGGTGCTTAGAACTTCTTAAACATTTGCACAATACCCCTCAAGTTTTCTATATTTCTCAAGTTCGCTTGACACCTGTGAAGTTCTCTGAAATTCTAGGAACTTCACAAAAGGTCCTGAACATTTTCGGATGCTAAAAGAACCGCTTTGAAGTTCTTAAAGCTTCCAGTAAGTTCCCCATATTTTCACCATGTTCCCGCAGTTTGCTTATGGAGGTTCACTGAAATTCTCAGCATTTCTTTTCATTCCTCAGAACTTCTCCAAAGTTCCTGCAACTGTTGTGAAGTTAATGGGATTGCAATGAAGATCTCTAATCTTTCATAAAGTTATTAACGAACTTGGAATAAATCATTTATTTTTTTTCCTTTAATTCTGGCACTTTGAAAATGCGATATCTTGAACTTGTACACGGAATACGAAACTTCAAGACACTGGATATTTTTAGATCTTGGATTTACTCAAATTAAGTTAGCTTTTTTTAACCTTATTAAAGTGAGAAATTAAGTAAATGTTAAACTTCAACATTCAGTGGATTTGATTGTAAAGCTGTTCTTTCAAAACTGATTGCCATGTCTTAATTTTTTTTGGGTTAATTGCTGTTGTTTTTTTATCTACAAAAAAAAAATTTCTGCAAAAACCTTAGTTAAAGTTCTGGAAAAACCTGGAAAACGCAGGTAATTTTATTTAGAAAAATGAGTATACATCCTGTAGATATAGAAAGACGATTAAACGTCACATAGCAAAGAATGCTCAATCTTGAAATAAATTCACGCTAGAAAAGTTGAAAATAGTGACTGAGTACAAGAAAAAGGGACTTTAGTGACTTGGTCATTAAAAAAGAGACTTTTTAGTGACTGGAAAAAGGGACTCGCTACCAGCCCTGCAATCGATTTACTAAAAGGATAAACAAAATAATAATCTGTAAACCACAACACGCTAGACTGATGAGTGTGATTGAAAAAAAAAGTATAGTACGTCACTAGCTAAGTCGATTATAACTATGAGATGAGATAACATTAAACAGAAAACCAAAGTAGTAGTCAAACACGACAAGCAAAGCCCGGAAAGCAAGTGACCTTTCCTGCTCCTGGACAAAACAAATATAAACTCTAAAAGCATCTACTTTCTACTTACCCGCAATTTATTCAGCCACCGAGTTATAACAAGTTGCGTTGTCAATAGTTGAAGTAATGCACTCGCAGTTGCACGGTTCTCTCCGACAGGAAACGATGGAAGGAATATTAAAAGAAAAGATCCGGAAACTATGGAAGAGTTGTGAAAGTTCCTCCACACGAAGATATGGTTGGAAAACCCCGGAAAGTAGGTTATATTGACACAAACCTCTTATTCTTCTTCTTCTTATTCTGCTCTTAACCTCCCGCGAGTACTGACGCTTATAGAGGGAAACTCAATATTCACAGAATAAACTCCAAGAGAGATATGATGATTGAAGCAGGGATTCGAGTTTTCCGACGGGACAAATATTGACACAAAAAATGTACAATTCAGGACAATTTCGACAACACTGAAAATACGATCTTTGCTTCGCCTGCCTGTGCGCGCCTAGCTAGTTTCCGATTCAGTCAATTTTCCACCTCAAATTATTCACTTTTCCTTCCAGCACTAACTTGTTGCTTTCTCCGAAAGCGCTTCCAGCTCTGTCCAACCAGGCGTGTACACTTTTGATTTACTTTTTTATTCTCTCTCTCTCTCTCAAGTTGCGACGGAGGGGCTACGCGATGTGTACGGGTAAGTGCAGGCTTTACTTTGCTCAAACTATCCACAAAACGTCTTGATGCTTTTTCCAACAACGAAAAAAAAAACCTCGGGGCTGTCTTCTTGTTTCGATTTTCTAAAATTTGTTGCTCCTACGCGGGACACACGCTCTCTATCTCTCTTCCTCCACACTCGTTCCACGTTCTCCTACCGTCTCCGAACCACAACGAACCGGCGACGACGAGGGGATATCGGATGACTTGATTCGGATGATGGGGAACGGCGGCGATCACGGTGTGCGATGGCGATGATGACGACGACGGCGAGTGGGGCGCGTGCCACGACGGGGGGCGTCTAGCTTATTTGTGTTGTGCCTGGCAGTACTCTGCGCTGTCTAGCTGAAACTCCATAGAGGTTGGAACGAGTCGCCACAGCTGTAAGGAGAGCAGAAACATGAAGAATGAGATTAGTCTAATATCTTTGAGCAGGTTGGATGGGGGAGGAAGGTGGTGGGAAGTATTTATTTGCAGGGGTGATTCTAGGAAAAGAGCCAAGCAGCAATTCAATGCAAATTTCAAACGAATAGGATCCGACAAACACAGCACCAGCAGATTGGGATTTTCGAGGAATGTACTCGTTCTATGATTATAGCCATGTGGTGGCTGGCAAGATGGGAAAATCCTCTGAATCGGTGCCAAAAATGTCACCCCCGATGGGAAAGCAATAAAATGATGTTTTGGTTGTGTTTTGCCTTGTTGATAGTTAATCGCAATTAAATGGGATTTCACAACCATACGTTGATTTGTAAATTATCCCCCGTTGGAGATCAGAGCCATTTAGGGGAACACAAATATTTAAGCACAACTGCATTGAGGATTTTCCATGGAATTCAATGGTATGATTTCTTGAGTTCGCTTGAGTTTTTCTCGATGATTCTCTTTAATACTCAGAATTCTCTGAGAACATCCTTCTGAATAAACAATTTACTGTAAGTTCACCAGAATTCTCCTTTCCAATCTTCCGAAAATCGCTTGGAATTCTCCACAACATTCCCTTGGAATGCTCCCAGCGATTCATTTCCATTCTCCTGAAAATGTTCTAGGAATTCTCTCAAGCATTCCCTATGTATTATCTCAAATTTCCCTTGGAATGCTCCCAGAAGTTCTTTGATATTCATATTACAGTTCCCGTGGCATCTTGCTCGCAATTATTATGAAACTATCCTTAGAATTGGAATTATCGTTAGAATTTGTTTTGAAATGTCTCAGATTCAAAGTCCTTTTGTATTATTATCACTACTCATTTGGAATTGTTGACATCCGAGTTTATGTCAGAATTCTTTTGAAATACTCAACAAAATTACGTTGGAATCATCTTCCGAATTCATTTTAGGATTCCGTTTGAAATCAAATTTCAATGGAATTCATCTCAAAGTTATGTTCAAATTCTCCTGGTCTACTTCTCAAGCCCCACGCAATTCTCCACTGATTTTTTTTTCTAATCTAAACTTCGGAATTCTCCATAGAATACACCTTAGGTTCTCCTCGGAAAACCCATGGAATTTTTTATATTACCTTGAATTATCATCGGAATTCGTTAAGAAAGTTTACAGAATTTCCAAGCAGTTCTCGTCAGAATACTTTTGAAATTATTTCAGTTTTTATAAAAATAATCGCGAAATTTTTTGGCTTCCTGTAACTTCATCCAAGTTCCATGCACATTTTTCACAAGAATCTTTATTTTTTTAAGTTTGAGATCGTGGGAACTTGACAGTTCGACTTGAGTTCGACAACTTCAATTTTTCAATTAATCTTGAACATATCAAGCTGAACAATGCATTAGGTCCTAAGTATCATTAATCAATTCTCTTCATCGACTTTCTCTTTCGTTAATAACGTGGGTACAGAACCGTTTCTTGTCGTGTTTGTCATATTAGAAGCTAGATAAAAGCTTCACACAGGATCCGAACCGAGAGTCAATTGCATTGTAGCGATAATGTACGGTGTCAACCACACCCCGGTGCCGAACGATCCTACAATTCTTCAGATGTATCTGCAATCGCAGCTGTTTCTCCCGCAGAACACCCCGGTACGATTGATGGTTCACCCATCAGTCAGCCGTACAGCTCATTCTATGGACTGAACTCGGATTCGATTGACTGTGGAGGTCTCTCTACGCTCTTTCGCAACTGTTCGTATCACCGACGGCAAAAGATGCTGCTGACAGAATTGCGAAGGTAACCACACCGGAGGTAACAGAGCCAATCTGAATCGCGGTCTTAATTAACGCAATCGGAACCGGCAGCAGTTTCAGGGAGATTAATATGCGATTCCGGCATGACCAAGGATAAAAAATATGAAGGAACAACAGGCAGATACAAGGAGGAGGTAATCATCAAATGACTGCAACCAGTATCGAGATTCTGGACCGACATTTAGGTAAACCATGGACGGTAATAGAAATTCGTACCTTCAATGGAAATATTACACATATCTAGCGTTCAGAATAAGAAGTGCTTAACTTCGATGATCGATTCTCTTCATTGGTTTTCTCATTTGTCAATAGCTCGGCAGGTTACTTTTTGGTGCATTTTAATTTGCTTTCGCTAGCTAATACATCCTTTTAGTACACTGTACTGGAACCATTTCGGAAAATTGGTTAACTTAAGAGAAAATTGATGAAGAGAAATGATCATCGCACAGGGTTGTCTACACATTTTACTAGATAACATTTCCCGGATATACCAGAAAAGCAGTTCTAGGCCAAATAGCGCAAAAATTGACACATTTTAGCTTTTACCTCTCAGAACTCTATGAAAGTTCTCACAATTGTTCGCTAGGGTCAATGAACCAAGTTTGTGCGGGAATTCGGTCATTTTGACTCTGGCCTGATTTTCCAAAATGGCACATTCGATCTTTTTCAATAAATCATAGCACGAAAACCACTCATCTAATCGAAAAATCTGAAGCAAAATTGTAAGAAACTTGATTGCTTTTCAGAAAAAAAAAACACAAATTTTCATAAAAAAAAAAACTGTTAAAAACTACAATAACAGAATAAGAACATTTGAAAGATTTTTAAACTTGTTTGTAATAAGCTTTTAATTTATCAATAATGCTATATTTTCTAAAATGGGTACAATGGAACCTTTCAAAATTTGACCAAAATCCATGGTGACCAGTAAACTTCGATTAGAAATTTCCTTTTTTTCCGGAATTTTGGAAATTTTGTTCGATATACATTAAAATTAAGCATAATACCGAAAGCCTAAGGTATCAATAGGATAAATAGGTCATTACTAAGACAGCAGCATTTTTCCTGGGTCAAATTTGGCTATGCGTTCGAATTCTTCAAAGTTTGCCTACATTTTAACTACCTTGAAAATTTACTTAAAACTCTTTACAGGATTTAATTAGAATATTCTTAAGCATTTCCTTTCGAATAATTTTGCGCCCTAGAGTTTATTTTAGAATTATTCTAAAATAAGTTTGAGATTCTCTCTGGGAGTCCCTCAAAAATGTATTTATAGCAGTCTAGAAATTATCTGCAGATCAATCCAAAAAAGCATGAAAAGCATCGTTAGATTTTCTTTGAAGCTTCCTTGCACAATTCTGTTTGAAATTCTCTTTAGAATTCCCAAACAGTTCACAGCAGAATTATTTTGAAGTTCTGCTTTAAATTCTTCTGAAAATTTGCTTAGACATTTCCATAAAATTAACTAGAAATTAGTTTCGTGATGCCTTTGGAATTGATTGGAATTCCCTTAACACTATTCTCAGAAATTGTACCCTCAACATTCGATTCCATTGGTATTTTTTACAGATCCTGGAATCCTCTTCACAATCGAAAAGGAATTTTCTGCAGAGCTAGTTAAAAAATCTACTCTGCACTCCCACAAGTGACTTGAAGTTAAAGAGTTCTTTCCAAAAATCAAAATTTTCTCAGAAATACCTTGGAGTTATCCATGAAATTCAGTTATTTTATTTTTTTTCCTGATTTTTTTTAGTTATTTTTTTCCTGATTAGTCATCGAAATTCACGGAATTTTCCCGGTTTTTTCGATTTCCCGTTTCAATGGTCGCCCTGAAAATTGTAGAACATCAACTTCTGGAATGTATGAAGCTTTATTTTAATGCAATATTTATGTGATTTACGTATAGGAAATGATTTTCTGTACTAAAAAATGTGTTATGCTTAAAAAACAATAAAAATAATTTGTCGAAAAAAGTACAAGTGTATACTAATAGTTACCGTATGTCTGTAACTCCCTGAATATTTTTCAAAATCCAGGATCCTTCAATTCAAAAATCTTTAATCGTGATCATCAGGATCCCGACTTTTTTTTATAGATTTCAATAATTGATAGCCTTGGAACTATTTACAGGATTACTTGAGTATATTCTAAAAATTTACTTAGAAAAATTTCACAATGAGCGTTCATCTTAAACCTCTCTCAGGTATTCCCTTATAATTTGCTCCATAATACGCGTGAACATCTTCCAGCGGATGATATTACAAGCTGTGATACGGTAGCTCAGATATCATGCTAAGAAAACTCACCAGCTACAATGCTCACCAAACTGCGGTGAGTTTGAGCTTCAAGATTACTGAACACCCGAAGAAGAACTGGCAGCAGTAACCAGTGATGCAAAATATCATGACACTCACTCGACACTCGTCAACGCATCAACTGAGTGTCGCTGACAGAACGTTTCGTCACGCAGTGAGAGGTAGAGCTATGGCAAACAACAATCACTAATAATGGTCGCTGCTCACAGGCACAACGTAACACTCGCTGCTGATGATGAAAAGCACAACGAAAACAGTGAAGACTTCTGCAGTATGATAATGAGAAAAAGGGAAACGACAGAAGAAAATAAAAACAATGCCTACGTATTCCAAGTTCAACTCGGCACGCGTGACTGTGTGATATACAAACAAAGCTGGCAAAATTAAACGGAAGCTGTTGGGCACACTCACCAACACATTCAAATAAGCAAGCAAAGCAGCAACTGCTTCAAAACGAGCAAAGATGAGTGTCATGATTGTCGGGAATGACCAGATCGGTGATGGATCACCGCCGAAGACGACATTCACCAGTTGCTTTTTACTTCATTCGTCAACTTGATGGATGGTCATGGAGAGTGCTTCGACAAGCACATTGATAGGAATGTAGCAAGCGTTACTACCATCAGCTGGTTGACGAAAATTATCCAGGTACGTGGATGTAATTTCGGTCTACTGTACTCAAATTGGGTCTATTAATTGATACAAATTCATCCTATCGAAGATGTAACTCGTTCTACAAAGATCTGGCATGTGGAATCGCGCTTTTATTTCACTCCTTATCATTCATACGTAACCACATTGATGACGTCACTTACACTTCTCACGTAAGAACTGATGAGGTAGAAAGAGACAGTGTTTTCTTTGTT